TGAAGAGCAGCCTGATACTGAGATGCTCTTGGTCAGGTGTCCCTTTTTATAGCGCTAGATTGAAGTGGAAGGGGAGGGGTGTGGTGGAGGAGGGGTGGAATGGTAAGAAGGAGGGGAGGATGTGTTTATGGCAAGATGGAATGCCATCCACTTCAATCTAGCGCTATAAAAAGGGACACCTGACCAAGAGCATCTCAGTATCAGGCTGCTCTTCAAACCCTGATGAAGTGAGCTGTAATGTTCACGAAACGTCGGTATTAAAATGACACTAACGCGGTTCAAACCCGAAAAAACATCTTTGTATGTTAATACTACACACCGCGAAAGCATTAAATATCAACTACTGCATGTTAAAGAAACACAGTATTTTTTTAATAATAAAAAATATTTTACACTAAAACATAAAAATGACAATATTCTAAATACAAACAATAATGATAAATATAACAATAATGAATATAAAAATATTAATCTCTTTTTTGCAACTTTTCTAAATTAATTGAACCCACATACTTTAATATCGATAGAGATATATTTCAATCTCAAAACAAAATTACCTTAGCAGATAAAATCGCTCATTGGATTATTACAAATAATATCTCACATAATTCTGCAAATGAATTGTTATCAATTGTTACGTTCTGGCCCATGGATACGGTCGGATTGTGGTAAAACGCAACAGTAAACGCGTCGTTTTCCATATCTCTCTTTACAGTGGACAATGAAGTCCCGCTGTGAGAGAGTCGAGAGAGTTTGTTTATATTCGTCGACAGGTCAACGGCGTACGCCGATCTCACTTTGTCTAGCGAACACTCACTCGTTGGTCCCTTTTTAGGTCTGAGACGCAAATCTCATTTACCAAGGACGGGACCTAGCGATTTTAACGAGAAAGTGAGAGTGGGTTGTACGGAAAGAAGGATAACAAAGAATAATTCTTTAATTTGATTCCACACATTATAAAATAGTTATATTTATTAAAAAAAAAAGACAAATCGAAATCTTAGCAAATTACTAACATACAGGTATGTTGAAACTAATACAATGACGGAGCGCATAATCGTTTCGTACAAAGTAATTTATAAGCTAGGTGCAAGTGCGAGAGAGAGGGAATACAAGTTGTTTAGTGCAGCCAGCCTCTTTAACCCATGTTTACGCAACTTAGATCATCTTAGAAATGCATTTCCTTATGTCAATTGACAAATTCGGTTTTGTTTTATTTCTTAGGTTCCGATAGATTTAATGATAGGAATAAATTTGAATATGTCATGGTTCTACGACTGATATTTGGAGATAAGCGGGCTTGTTCGTTTCCGTGATTTAGGAAGGAAGTCAGAGGTTATCCAGAGCGATTCAAAACCGCGGACGCCTGTCAGCAGTCATTCAGAGCAATTCAAAAACCGCGGATGCCTGTCAGAAGTCGTCCGGAGCGATTCAAGAACCGCGGATGCCTGTCAGAAGTCGTCCGGAGCGATTCAAAACCGCGAACGCCTGTCAGCAGTCATCCGGAGCGATTCAGGATCGCAGATATCCTCTCTGATCAAGGAAGGAGGGGAGAGGCTATCTTAAACAGTTCAGTACCGCGGCTGCTGTGTTTAATTTGTGCGAGACTTTATCGTTTTTCTCTCTTTTTCTCAATCTCTATTTCTAGTTCGTGAGATCTCAGTGAACAATTGGTTTCTTAAAAACACTTACTACATGGTTGAGTGGCAGCGGTGTCGGGTTGGCTGCAGGTACTCGGGAGTGGAGCGTTGAATACCAGTGCGGCTTCGGTATCCCGGCTTTGGCACTCACGGCACCAAACTTTTCAAACTCTTTGTACCACGACACTCCCGATCTTTTAGATTAACGGCTCTCAACTGCTTCCGGTTCTGAGAGTCGTGGCTTATATACCTTTTTGAGTCAGCGAGTGCTCACCGAGTTTCTTCCAATCGGAAAACTCGGTTGGGCCTCGCTGGTTTCTATTTGTTAATTAGTTGTCGGGTAAACTTTGTGTGATCGCCAATCGGCGACGATTTCTTGCCTTGGTCGGCTCGTCCGATTTTTCGGAGAAGGGAAAAGGGAGAGTGTTGTTTTTTTTCGATCACGCCACATAGACCCTTTGCTATTTGCTTATAATAAAATTGCTCGTGGCGCCGGAGTTTCTATTTGCGCCGGCCGCTCTAATTTTTATAAGCGGTGTTTTTCTTAACCCGGAGATATCCGGGTTTGTTTGGAAAGCTGCTCAAAGTGTTTAAATAATAAATGTTTCTTGCTCGTTATCATAAAATTTCGGGTTATTACTATACGCGGTTTATCTTTTCGGGCGCCGATATGATTTCCGTTTGCTCTCCCATCGTTTGGAGTCTAAGTTTCCAAACAATAGGAGATCTGCTCGGATTATTTATTGCTTTTTGTTATATACTAAAAGGGAAATTTGTTATGCGTTGGCGCATCGCGTTGCAAGAAAAAGGGGCCCGTGGATTCCCCACGACGTAACACAATAATGAAATCAGAAAATTTGCTTGTTCCAAAAGATTGTAGAACATTGCTAAGAACTCCTTCATTATATAATATTATAAATATGCCACCTGGTGGATACATACATTTAGGTATTGAAAGAGGTATATGTGAAAAAATATATAAGAATATATTAACAGATGATTTAGAAAATCTTCCATTAACAATTAATATTGATTGCTTGCCGTTGAGTAAATCTTCAAAAAGTCAATGTTGGTCTATTTTAATGTCAATTGATTTATTAGAAATTTCGGAACCTTTTATTGTAGGTATTTATTATGGATTTAAAAAACCAGACTCAGTAATGGATTTTTTGGATGCATTTGTAAAAGAATATTTGTTTTTAAGGGAGAATGGTATTTTTATAAACAATAAAATAATTAGACCGACATTAAACAAAATTATTTGTGATGCACCTGCTATGGCATTTGTTCTTTCAATAAAATCTTATACAGGATATTTTGGCTGTAATAAATGTACACAAAAAGGTAAATTTCTTAGAGGCAAAATGACATTTTCAGAACTCGATGCCACATTAAGGACTGATGAAAGTTTTGCATTGCACTCACAAGAAGAATATCATAAAAATTTCACTCCTTTAGAAAAGATAGGTATCGGTTTAGTTACTAATGTGCCACTCGATTATATGCATTTAATATGTCTTGGTGTAATAAAAACACTTATCATGTTTTGGATAGGAAAAAAAGGAAATAATTGTTTCAAGTAAAATGATTATGATATAAAATTAATATTAAAAATTATGAAAATGTTTCGAAAATATATTTCTGAGGAGTTTTGTCGTTTACCAAGAGCTATAGGAGATGTAGACCATTGGAAAGCAACAGAATTTAGACAATTTCTGTTATATACAGATCCCATTGCATTGAAAGGAAAATTGCCTAAATTGTAATATAAACATTTTTTATGCTTACATATTGCTCTAAGAATTTTGTGTTCATCAGAATGTATCAGACTTAATGCATATGCAAAATCTTTAATTCGATATTTTATTGAAAAGTATAAAACAATATATGGTACTGAAAATATTACATATAACGGGCACAATTTCCTGCATCTTTGCGATGATGTATTATTATTTGGTAAAGTTGACAATTTTAGTGCATTTCCATTCGAAAATTATATGAGTAAAATAAAAAGAAAGATGAAAACTTCTCGGTATCCTTTGCAACAAATATATAATAGAGTTGTTGAAAACAGAAAGCTTCTAACATCTGTTAGATAGTAACATGTTTAATTTATGTGAAGAAAATGATAAACCTTTTATAAGTAATGAAAATGGAAAAATTTATAGATACTATAAAAAAATTTCTCATGATACTTTTACAATATCATTATTTCAAAGAAATAATTGTGATCTTTTAAAGAATTCTAGTTATATGCTTATATCAAATATTTATAGGAATGAAAATGATGATATAAAAATAACTGGAAAAATTTTCCGAAATGTATCTAATTTTGTGAAAAAGCCTTCATTTAGTTTAGCTATAAAAGTCATTGATATACATGAAATATCAAATACATTAACGTTTGATTGTAAAGACATTAAAGCTAAATGTTTAATGTTACCAATGAATGATAAATTTGCTGTAATTCCATTATTACATAACAATTCATAATATCTGTTTTGTACTAAAATATTACATGCTTATACAAAATTTAACTATTACATATTGTAATAATTGTAACTTACGCTTAATTAAATGTAATTTTTATTACTAATTAAATATTTATATTATAATTGTATTGTACAAATGCTATATTAAAGATCAAAATAACATCAGTAGTTATTTTTTCTGGTCTTTCAAGATAATATTTGCGATTATTGTAACAAGTATCTGTTAAGTATGATTAAATAAAGGTTACTCTTGCTTTTTCAAACATTATGCTATGAAGTATGAATTATATTCAGTTGTAAAATTTAATACTGAAAACGATGAGGAAACATATTCTGTGATTCCAACTTCATAATTAAGAGACGATGATAAGTATTCTTATTGGCCAAGAAAGGACACACGCAATTGTATCATAAAATGTAAAAAACCACAAAATGATTGGATTATTTATCCAGTTACTGTAAGTGCTAAATATGGTATGTATCTGTGTATGTATACATATACATGTGTGTGTGTGTGTACACATCCACATGATAAATAAGTTTAGTTGATAATTAATCCAAAATATTAATTACATCTTGGAAAATTTATTTTTTTAGATTCATACAAACATGCTCTGCGAAAAGAAAAAAACTTGATGGAAGAAAAAAGCAACACCGAATCGAAATGTCAATTAGGTCGTGGATTTAGAAAAAAAAAGTTTCATATCGCATTTCAAAAGAAAGTGGTATAACAATTTTCTGAAAAATATTCGATAAAAGTTTTAATTTATTCGAAACTTCTTTATATTCTCTTTGCTTGATACCTAAATATACAATTTTGTTCTTCGATGTTATAATGCTTTTAATGCTATATAAGATAATATTAAAGATATTTCTTTAGATAATATTAGATATTATCATTAAACATTGATAATATTTTTCAGATAATTATAGTAATTCAAGTAACAAAATCAGCGATAACGTTTTCATTCCGGAATTAAATAACAATTTGCGCGACCAAGGTATAACCGATATTCTATATATATTTTTTTACATCTTTTTATTTAGAGAAAAGTATATTTATAAAATAAAGATAATATTTTATAAGAAATATGTTTTTCAGATAACATTAATCAAAATATTGATGATAATATCAATCAAACTATTGATCATAATATCAATCAAAATATTGGTGATAATAATTCACAAATTCTACATGTGAATGAAATTCCTATTGTCTTAGAAGCAGAAGACAATGTTATTAGCATTACAGAAAATAATATTCCTATAGGTTATCACAATAAGTTATTTTAAGATTTTTATTAAGAAAGCATATTCATAATAAATATCGTAATAAATTTATAATAAATAAATAAATTATATGTATGTACTACATCTAAAAAACTTTCAAAAAATGCAATATTTATAATATCAATAAGGAATAAATAAATAATATACACTTTCTATAATATTTATGTACAATGCTATTTATAAAGAAAGACAATAGAGGTAAAAATTATATTTCAGTTATTCTGTTATTACAGCTACTGAAACTCTTAATTCTATATTACGATATGTTCTCGAAATAAAACTAATGTGTAAACGAATAGACGAGCGTTTACATGTTTTAGAAAATAATGGCAATAATATAAATATTGGTCGTAACATTGATATGCTTCCACAATTACCAATGGATTGTTTTGAAGATATTAATAATTTTGAAATTATATCAGCATGTAAGGAAGCACAATCACAGCTGATACCCTATGTATACATTTTTATCTTTTGTTTTTAACTTTAACAGTAAGTTTAATATTGGGAATATGATTAATTAATATTATTTTAGATAAATATGTTAATTATGACTGGTGGTACTACAGAAAAAGATGCAATAAAAAGAGCATTGCAAAAATTATTTACAAATAATCTCGCTTCCAAGTGCTCTTGGATTGGAGCCAAAAATAATTTTAAATTAAAAGATTTAAATATAATTATGTGCATAAAAAGAGTAAGTTGTATAAAATATTATTCCTTCAACTATTACTTATATTCAATTATTTGATTTATATTACTTTTTAATCTTAAATATTCTTTTCACAGTTATAACATCTTTATATTTATAATTTATTTAATAATTTGAACAAGTTATTATTGTTGGAAAAAGATTTAACATGTACCAAGTATGAAAACAATTTGATTTATATTTGATTTATATTTGTTTTATATTTCAGATGCTATAAAGACCATTTATCCTTCTATAACAGAAGCACAATTTGAAGAGATTTTAAAAGCATGGTTTAGACAAGCAAACTTTCGATTAAATCGTGAAAAGGTCAGAAATAATGCAAGAAATGATAATGTGAGAAACAATGTGTAACGTTTTTATTTCAACTTGTGTGTTGCCAAAATTTTATTTTTTTATTTCATAAGTTTAAAACATTTCTTGTAACATTTAATATTACTATATACAATTTAATTTTGTTACGTTTTTGAAAACAATGTTTTTAAATACAGTATTAACCTGTACAATCCGGGAAGGCAATATATATGTATATTGGCTCTGAAGCGATATCAGCTTTTTCATAGTAGGTATAATACTCATATACATACGGTATAACATCTAACACTAACTTTTTACCTCTAAATCTATAAAAAATCGCCAAAAAACTATCCTAGAATGTACAGGTTAAATGTATAATATAAAAATGTAAAGTTCTTAAACATTATATATACATATATATATATATATTTGTAAAGTAGTTATTTTTTATTTCATAGTATCGAAATATTTATGGTATGTGATATTTGAAGTATAATATATATTACTGTGATAATAAAAAATAAATTTTTTTATTTTGCTTCTCTGATGTCTTCCACAAAGTTTGTGATATAGTAAGGTTTATACTCTAACTTATACTATAACGTATATTTTGTATAATATAAATGTACCTATAAAATAAATAAAAACTATTACTTATTCAATTAACCATTTTATTATTACATCATTTTGACAGTTCTGAATTGCTCAGTCAGCGAGTATATAGAATTGCTAATAGCAAAAACTTTTAACAACATAATTTGTCAACCTTAAAATCTAAATTTATTTTTTTATGTATAATATAACGTCAGAGTATATGTATATACAGGGTGTCCCAGAATTGCCGTACAATCTCTCGTAGGCAGGTAGAAGAAGTAAAACTGAGTCGAAAAGTCCTGAATCATTTTTTTCTATTATTTATAATAAACGAGTAATTATTGAGTAAATCAGGCCAATCATCGCAGACCTTTAGCCAGG